TGTTATAAAAAAAAATAGGCTTACTTTTCTTTTTCTTTAATAAAAAACTAGAAATAATGGTGTCCTCCTGATGTTAGATAAACATTTTGAATTTATTTCATTTGTTCGATCAATTTGATTGACAATTCAACGGTTGATTTTAACGAGGGTCTTTTGGATATTTTTAAAAAAAAATAATTAAATGGTCTTTAATTAAGAAAAAATTAATTATTTTAACTACTACCTATATATTTGAAAAGTTAATCCTAATTAAAATTAGAAACGTTTGCAAATAATTATTTTTTAAATTCATATATATTCAAAAGATAATGAAGTATACATTTATCAAATATGATGTCTTTATAATATTATTATGATGTTTTATCTTGAAACGTCTCAATATATAGTTATGATACAATATATTATTCAAATAAATGCATTATGATACATCTTTTTAACTCGCGAATTATTTATATAAATGAAATAATATTGACTTTATGTTTCATAAGATTTTCTTATTATAATCAAATATAACTTCAATTAATGCAACTAATTTTTGAAAAATATTAATCCTCTTATTTTAATAAGATACTTATAGAACACATTATTTATATAAATATTTTTCATATTTCATAATAAAAATTTCATTATTTTGAGTATATTAGTGGTGCACATAAAAAAGAAAAGCATATACATGTATTGCAAAGGTTTATGTCTTCCCAATCGCTGTCATTTCTCTAAAACACCAATGAAGTGAAGAAGTGCTAATAGAAGAAGTATTTTCACCGAGTTCCTTGATTGCCTAATCCGTCAAAGGATTGAGTGAAGTTAACCATATTCAAAGATACCTGTTACTACATAAATAATACCTTAGCAGTCATCAATCATACCTTGATTGTCAATGCTCGTATCCAGACACATTGTTACATACCCGCTTTAAATAACAACATACGGCATAGTAGTTTTTACATACCTATAATACGATCTTATATGCTCCAGCAACAAGTATCTATGCTCGGGTAACTTGTTCTTGAAAATCGATCATTTTGAATTCGAAACATTCAATTGTTGTCACTAATCATGGATGAATTCATCATTATAGTGTTCTCACGGATCCTAAAACTATATAAAAAGATTAAAAAAAAAAAACATAGACACGCATATTTACTATGGATTGATAAACAAGATAGAAAATACTCGGTTGGGATTACATTGAAAATATAAGAATAATACAAGTTCTAGGATGCAATCTATTATGCACCAATATACCAATAGTTCCATTGTAGTCCAAACAAGTCTCATTCTTATATAATTGTATAATTGAAAGTAAATTTAATCTCATAATAATACTATTGACACGATCAATAATTTTAATAAAATAATATTGGAAAGTACTATATATCTACATGTTAATGGTAACTGGGGATGAATTAAACAAGATAATTGTTTTTACCAATTTCTGGAGAGTATTAACATGCAAAGAGTACATATTTACAAGAATCCAATGGGGAAACACTACCATACATCATTGCTCTCACGGATTGATTGTTATTTAAACTTATTACATAGTAATCCAGAGCGTAGCACACACAAACATTCGGTCCACCGAGCTAAGAGAGGAAATGCTCTCACCAAGTTTGCGAATCAATCCCTCTGTGTGGGATTGACTGAAATCAACTAAATTCGAGGATACCTGATACTACACAGATAATACCTAAGCAACCATTATTTATACATCGCTAGTTGGTGGTTGTACCTGGATAACGCACATACATATCTGCATAAAAACTCTACATACCCTGGAACAGATCTTACGTACCTATAATAATAGTCTCACATGCTTCAGTAACGAGTATATATGCCCCAGTAACCTGTGGTTGGGGAATCAGTCATTTTCAGTTCGAAATATTCATTTTAATGTCAGTAACCAGGGATGAATTTATCATGGTAGTGTTCCCATGACACTCCGAATTGCATAAAAGGGTAAATAATACATTTTTACTATGGATGGTTAAACAAGTCATAAATGACTTAGTGTATGATATATGTACAATCATAGTCCAACCTCCACTTGTAGATGTCTAAAAAAATCGCAATAACTAAGTTAAATTATATTGGTTGTTAGAGTATATAATTGTTGCCACAAATTAAAAATGTGACTAAGTTCAATTATATTGGTTCTTATAATACATGATTGTTGCCACAAATTAAAAATCTTTAGACCTATTACATAATAATATACATTGTAGCACACATAACAACATTCGGTTAGGAGCATATTTGCATAGAACATGACACGACTAATAAGACAAGTACTCCAAAGTAGCTCCATCGTACCCAAACCTGGCTTGGTGTACGAAATCATACTAGTTGTGTACCTACTGCTACTTCATTTAGAGAATTATCCATCGCTGTAGGAACTCAAATAAATTCAAATATACCTGCTACTTTACAAATAATACCTTTGTAATGTATATATATACTCATAAACTGAGTGTTAATACTCGACTACTTTATTCACTTAACTACATACATTATCTTTATGTCTTGTTTCATTTCTCACATACCCATATACACATATTACATACTCCAGATACACATACTTATGCTTGCACGCTCCGTTCGTGTACCACGGTGCAATTAATTTATAAACAAGTTTCAAAGCAGCTTTGGATCTTGTTGTTGTATATTACATGATACACTTTCAAAGTGACGATGATATGGTCGGATACCTTGCTAGGCATAAGCTATTAGATCTAAAATCCAACTGATTGAAGTGGAACATCTAAATCCTTAGTCTTGGATAATGATGACGATGATTGCGGTTGGCCTTCTTGATCTACCCTTCAATTGTCTTCAAACACAACAAAACAAAATTAAGATCCATCTTATCTTAAATTAGATCCAGTCCTTCAAAAAACTTTTATATACTACAAACCTGAGAAAGATCAACAACTATTATAATGTAGACAAAGAAAATACACGAGCAAAATATCCAAAACCATGTTTTCCAGATAAGAAAAGTAACAAAAAGTAGAATATGACCGATTATCGTAGAATTTCTTCAAAAATGGATATGGATATCAAACCAAATGAAAACCAGACAAACATCAATAACGGATCTGGATGAAACTCCACTAATTAAACCTACATATATACATAAATTGAGTCAATGTTCGTTAGCCTTCAAATATCTCAACTCAATATATTTTAAACAGAATTTCAAATATCTCAACTCCATATATCCCAAATATTATAAAACCAAATAATTAAGTAAAAATAAAAAATAAAATAGAATAGAGAAAACTTGCAGATTCATCTTGTCTATAGTCAATAACAATTCATCAAAATGTTCCAAAGGAAAAGAAAGCATTCTGTCACCAAATCTGATTTTGTAACAACAACTAAACTTAATAACAAATCCAACTCAATTTGAATTTTATCAACATAAAAAACATAACATCATCCCAAATCCTTTTCACCTCACAAAATATCAAATAAAAGTCTGATTACATTTACAAAACGAAACACAAACAAACAAATCATCAGTTAAAATACGCACCACACAGAATCAGAAAATAAAACCGTACCTCTTTGTAACCACTTTGCACGGCGATTCTTCACCAAATGCAACATTGCAATCAATAAGAACGATGAAGCGCGACTACAAACATCAATTATATTAAAAATTCCAGCGAAGTCAGTAAACTTCATAGATTAGGGATTTGGTGTGCAATAAATAAAAGTAACTAAAAATTAGGGGTGTTGTGAATTTATGCCTGGATTGATGGATTCTTCGAATTAAACCTCGTAAACAAATATACAAATTAAATTAACGGAAGCGAAATTCGAATAAACCCAAATAATGACACCGAACCGAAGTTGAAATTAAACCAAAATATTAAGACTAAAACATAATTAAAAACACTGCATTATTGGAATTAAGAGTGTAGAAATCATGGAAATTAAATCAAGCAAACATCACTCAATTCGTTAAAGCTAAAAACAAGTAATCTGGAATCAAATAAATCAAACAAACAAAACCTAAAATTATATTGAGAAATCAATTCAACCCTCATATTTGTGCTTTGATATTGCCCAGCCGATATCAACTTTCGATTCTTTCCGGTTTGGTTCTATTATCCGATGAGACTCAAAAGACAAAAATCTTCCCAATCGACGAACCCTTCAGTTGATTTAATCATCTATTTCAACCAAGACAAAGGGGAAAGGGAACACGTTCACAGCGCCATGAATTGCAAAGGCTTCAGGGAAAGAATCACTGAACCTGTAAACCCTTCATCGATCTTTGTTGGACGGAGGACAACCAGAGTTATGGCATAAGATATGGAGAGAGAAATAAGACTTTGAGAGCATTGTACACTCGCCGACCGGACAATAGTGTTAATTTTGCGATCTTAAGTAACTGCTTGCCAATTTCTTTTTTGTACCGATTTTGCGCGAAAAATAACGGATGATATAGGAAGATGTAGAGGAAATTGAGATGAGGAAGTGAGAAAGAAGTGAATTAGAAAAGAAAGAAGTGCAATGTAAGAAATTAATAATGGGGGACTGATGTTAAATGAATTTGTAAAATTAGAAATTTATCTCCAATTGTCCGTATAAATACTAAGTATAAAATTCAATGTTTTTGAAATGAGAATGATAATAATTTGACACAGTAAAAGATTAGATATTGATAATAACGCTTGTTTGAAAACAAAAAGATTATAGTTAAATCAATGCAAAAGTAGTAGGTATATGCAACATGATAACAGTAACTTTTTTTTTTTTAAATGATATAAGAATTTGCAGTCGCTACCCGAAAGTGTGCACGGAATAAACCCCGACCAAACCTAATACTCTGCAAATTAAGCCCGACAAGTAAGTCACACTAGGCGAATCATATATTGCAGGTGACCTAAGGCATCGGGGTTTGAACTCATGACCTCACAGTAACAAATCCAATCCCCACGCCACCAAGCCATACCTTACGAAACGATAACAGTAACTCTTAGGTATATGCAATGGTGGTTCATTACCAAATAAATAGATACCAATAATGAGTGAGTCAGTCGATCAAAATCTGAATGTGATATGATATGATGTTATACTATACTATACAAAACTATTCTATACTATACTATAGTTTTCATCCAATTCAGGAGGGCGGTGTTGAAGAGATGAGGGACTTCGTCGTGCGGGCAGTGTCCAGCCTGTAGCTTTACTATACTACAGGTATTATTGGTATAGAATTCTTTAATCCTCACAGCCTTAGCCGGGCCAACCCAAGGGTCTAATTCACCCCATATCAAAAGCAAGGGGCACCTCACTTGCCTCAGCACGCTATCCAGTGTGTACTTGTTCTGCCTCAACATGAATCTCGTCATCAGTCTGAAAATAATAATTAATCATTAATAGTTAGTCATGTGACGAACAATTAACGAAACACACCTGAATTCCATCTATCTATACTATATAGGTTTATGCATTCCATCTATCTATACTAAATAATTGTGACTGTGATTGTGATTTTGTACCTGTAGTAAACTTCTCCAGCATTTGGATCATTCGCAGGCTTTGTAATTGAATTGATGAGATATTCATCCACATTCTCAGCATTTATATATACCTGCATTGCATTCAAACAACTCAAGTGGTGAAGCTAGCTAGCTAGCCTAGTTGAACAACCAACAATCACAAACAATTTCAAGGGAAAAAATCACAATACAACAATATTCATCCTCGATGCAGTCAGTAGCCATATATGCAACAAATTCAAGATCTAAGAGTTGCCCACCCTATCATTTAAAGGAACATTAATAATTTCTCAACTTCTGTTCAACCAAGAAATGTAGTAAATCAGTAATTGGATTCCATGGAGCACCAAGAAACCAATTTTTACAGACTAATTGTGAGATTTCTAACACACCAATATTTTTTCATGTCAGTATATCATGATATCTAGGTACACAACCAACTGGCCAAATAAAAAAATGTGTCTTTCATTAACAAATTGAATGTTAATACATAACCAAGGATCCAGATACAAGACCAAATTTGTATTCTAATAAATGCTTAATTATCTAGATTCAAAAGAGGGGTGGGGGTTGAGTTAAGTAGTTGGACAACATTTCCTCTTATTATGATTATTATTATTATTATTATTATTATTATTATTATTATTATTATTATTAATGTAAACATCCTCCTTTTACCTATTTTGGCATATGCTACTCACTACTCTGTTGGGTGTGTTGTCTCCCTTACACTAAAACAAAAAGTTTGTGTAGTGCCCTTATTGGTGCAGAGTGCATGAGTGCAGGTTGGCTGCATGTCTCATTTTGTATTGTCTTATACTTGTATAGAAGAGACAAAAACCATAAAAAGTAGTCAATGGGGATGTCTGAAATATCTAGAAAATACTTCATTCCATTTCGATGTAAAGGAAATTAATTGTATTGTTTTACACAATCAACTCCGAGGCTGTATGACCAGCTCAAGATGCAGAGTTGGTAAGTGAGTCCAATTCAAAGTAGAATTCTACAAAGAGAAAGTGCATGAAGTGCTCTCAACTCTGTGGCTCTTATTCTCCATGTTTTGAAAGGTATTCAAACTTCCACACTCCCTAGAAGTGTTTCCGGAAGAAGGAGAAATTGGAGATCCAACCAGAGATGTCAACCAGCTCGTAGGATAGTACTCTCAACTAGAATGGAGATCTACGGGTGTTATTACTTTGGAATGACAACCAGTTACCAGTGCATAATACTGCAAAGTAAGCAATGGGAGATGCTAGGTACATTAGGAATTGTTTTGTGGATTGGGTCCTTGTAACCTAGAGGTATGTAACGGTGGATTAACTCTTGTATTAGTATCCCTCAAAGATAAGTTATTTATAACTAAATTGGGTCAACAAACATCTTGTATCATTTATTGCTTTGAATGCATTCGCATTCATTACTTCAACACTAGGTCCTTATTACTATGAGCTTACCACGCATTTATTGTTGTATTATTTCATTGTGTGATTCATAACACCGCTATGCATTTACTTGGAAGTGGGCCTCTTTGTAGTTTTTGAGGGGATTTTAGACAAAGTACTTTCCAACATCTAATATCAGAGCAACATGTAGGGCCCTCCTATCTCTTCCTTCTACGAGCTGAGGTTAACCTCCTGAGTAGATCAACCCGCGGTTTACAATGTATTGAGAAGGCAACTATTGAATTTATTGTTCATCTAACTTTTTGTACGTTAATTGCGCGAATTGACTATAATTTTGCATAGTTCCTACAAAAATATTCAAGTCATATCTCCTAGGGCTGCACGACGGTCTTATACCGAAGAGAGCAAAAAAAAAAAAAAAATCATCATTGCAAGAAAACAAGAACGCGCGCAATGGCTAAAGCGATCAAGACGGCTGCGCAACTCTTCTTCATCTTCTTTTAAGTAGAATTTATTTGTTTTCAATTTCTAGTTATGTTTTGTAGCTAAATTCTTATTTTAGTCTAAGGTTGGATTAAATTATTGGATTATAGATTTGTGAAATAGTTTTGCGTTTTAATTGAATCTTTCGATTAATTGATATTTGTGCAATTTTTGTGTATTTAGATGTGACTTATAATTGTGGCTAGGTTTTAAATCTATCTATTGACGGTGTGCTAATTGAATAATTACATCCGTAATTATGTATTTATTCAATAAAGTAGTAATAGGTTAACGTGCTTAGCCTAGGAATTGCATGATGGAATAAGAAATCCTTCGTAATTGATTAATTATTCGAATTGGGTTTTTCTCGAGCTAAATTCAATTGGAGATTTTTTACTAAGGTCATACCTAGTTAATTCTTTCAATTAGAGAGTGGTTAATTGGTCGTACCATTGCCACAGACAAAGTTAAGACAAATTGGGTGTTCGATCACATCAAACACCTATAACCAATTTATCAATTATTTGGTTAAATTATTTAATTCGATGATATAATCAATTATCTAATTTTTCATTCAACCCTTGGACTAGAGTGTTCTACTTCTTAATAAATCTGTTCTTATTTCTTTCTTTAACTGATTGATTTTAATTTGTTTAATTGAATTTTCTTATGATAGTTATTTTAATTCTTGACTGAAAACCCCTATTTTAAATAAATAATCAACTAAATAAATACAATCACAGTCTCAATGGTTGACCTTGTTTTCATTATTCTTACAATTGATTAAAAAACAGGTAATTATTTGACTGACAGTTCACATCTATCAATTTTTTGCGCCGTTGCCGGGGACTGCTTTGGATCATTGTTATTTTTGTTTATCTATTTATTATTTCTTATTACACTATTCTCTTTATACTTGATTCTAGTTTATGCCTCAATCTTCTCAAACATGAATTTTGATATACGACTTAGAGATCGAAAAGCTAGCAAAAAAGTTGAGGAAAAAAGCTAGAAAGAAACTGTAATCCGACAGGATCTCCTACACACAGTCAAGTAGTTCTTACACTTCTGACGGTCCTCGATCCTATCATGGTTAGAGAAGATCACCGGACACTCAGAGAGTTGGCAGCTCCGAATTTCACTCGACAGCCCCTCTGCATTACCTTCCAACCATTGATGATACTAAAGATTTGAACTAAAATCTGGATTGATACACTTACTTCAATCTTTTCATGGTCTTGCATGTGAAGAGCCCCACAAACATCTGCATGAATTCAACGTTATCTGTTCAAGCATGAAACCAGCATGAGTCACTGAGGAACAAATCAAGTTGCGAGCATTCCCTTTTTTCTTAAAGGATGCAGTGCAAGACTCGTTGTACTATCTTCCCTCAGGAAGCATAACTTCATGGGTTGGCATGCAAAGAAAATTTTTGAAGAAGTACTTCCCGGCGTCTCGAGTTGCAACATTAAGAAAGGAAATTTGTGGGATCAAGCAACAACCAGGCGAGACATTACATGAGTACTGGGAGCGATCAACCGTCTGTGCGCACGGTGTCCTCAACATCAAATATCTAAACAGTTGTTTATCCAATACTTTTACGAAGGCCTCAGTTGGACAGATCGAAGCAACATTGATGTTGCGAGTCAAGGTGGATTAGCTGACAAAACTCTTAAAGATGCTTAGGGTCTGATCTCTCGATTGGCGGTAAATACACAACAGTTCGGTACTCGAAACAGTGGAATAGTCGATAGCTCTAGCTCCGATCTTGTTCGACAACAGTTATTTGAGTTAAATACGATTGTGCGCCAATTGGTGGTTGGTCAGACTCAACAAGTAAGGGCATGTGGCATCTGCACAAATATAGAAACCCTACTGGTGCCTGTCCGAAACTTTAAGAAGAGAACTCTGCAAAACTGAATGCAGCCAGCTTTGCGCAAGCACCATAGAGGCAGTACAACCCGTTCTCCAATACATATAATCTTGGGTGGAAGGATCATCCTAATTTGCGACATGGGAATCAACCGCAAGGTTTTCAAGCACAAACGCTAGCACAACAGATGTACCGCCCACTACACCACCACCACCTCAACTTGTTGCACCGCTAGGTATGTCTTTTGAGGATATAGTTAAGACCATGGCTACTAACGCTCGGTAATTTCAACTGGATACGAAGATCAAATACAAAATTTGGATGCGAAAGTAGAGCAACTAGCTAGTGAGGTACAAAATCTGGTTTTTCCTTCAATTTGTATTTACTATTTGAACTATGCGTTTCTTCGGAAAAAAATATATATATATTTTTTCCTTTAACAAAAATCATATCAAACAATGTTATTTAAATACAAAGCTCAAACCAAATCTTCCTAATCTAACCCCAAAGAAACACAACCCATGGTTACTACGGAAAGGGCAATCTTGGTAGCCCATGCATCAAGGCTATATCATATGAAGAAATTTTCCTAAGGTCTTAGTATACATGTTATGAGGGATCTCTATTCAAATTATGCATGTGGTTAAACAAATTGGGAATGTCAATTAATATATTATTGTAGATATGTGGTTAGTATCCCAAGTTTCCGAACTCAACATTATCTAAGCTATTTCATGAATGGATTCAAAGAGTCATTTCGAATACATATGCGAGCTTGGAAGCCCATGCATCTAAATAGTACAATGCAGTTGGCTTGAGCCATAGAGGCTAATAAATTTTGATCAATTTATGGCAACTACAAAGACTGGTTCCTCGTGGTCTCAACCATCAGCTTAACCATATTGATCTATCCCTTTGTCCCGCACAGCTGAGTCACCACTTCTAATCCGAAGGACCATAATATACCAACAATACCTTGTATCGTCTAATATCACAATAGAACCCCAATATGTTGCTTGTATGTGACGCCCCGGCCCGAAAGCCACGCGAAGCCGAGCATATCAAGATTGCAGACTGGCCCTACAGGTCAAAACGAGTCCTTTCCAGTGTGCTATCTCCTCACTCACGCGCACCCCGAGAGATTTCCCAGGGGTTCACCCATCCTCAAATTACTATAGAACAAACACCTTAACTTCTTTCGGTAAGGCTTCTGAAAATGAATATGCACATTATTGACATGAGTAGTCTATTCAATCAATTTAACCTATATTCAACCTCGGATAGCCTAGCACCGGCTCATCCAAGGGAGTTGGCCTAGCACCGGCCCAACTCCAGGGTATTACATCATCACCACTTAAGAATGCAGCGACCACGTTGCACCCCAATGATCATCAACTGTTAGGTCTATCACCAATCCAATCAACGATTGCGGGCTATCGCAGGTTGGCTCTGATACCAACTGTGACACCCCAGCCCGCAAGCCACGCGAAGCTGAGTATGTCACGATTGCAGACTAGTTCACATGTCAACACGAGTCCTTTCAAGCATGCTTTGTCCTTACTGACGCGCACCCACCCTGAGAGACTTCCCACGGGTTACCTATCCTCAAATAATTCTAGAGCAAACACGTTTAACTCTAGAGTTCTTTCAGCAGGGCTTACGAAAAAGAATGTGCACATTGTTGACATGACTAGTCTATTCAATCCATTTAACCTATATTCAATCTCGGATGGCCAAGCATCGGCTCATCCATGGGAGTAAGCCTAGCACCGGCCCAACTCTGAGGGTATTACACTGTCCTAGAAAAAAAAATAATGAGTTCAGGTATAAAAAATTATTTCTTAGGATGTAAGTAACCTTTCGAATGCTCCACGAATGCCCAACCAAGCAACTTCAAGTCATGTTAGCTAAGAAGGGGTGGTATGTCGGATGCTAAACTTAACATAAATCATATTTGAGCCCTAAGAGGAGCAACAAAACCCCTGAGGATTGTTTCAAACATTCATTCAGCCTAGAGGACAAGACTACTTTGGAGATGAAGGCAATTATAACGAGATAAAATTAGAATACTAATAAATTGCTAATTGTCTACACTACGAGGAACAAAAAAAGCTACATGATTGGACTAAATTATATATATAGGTGCGTTTACTTGTAAAATTATGATTTTTTGTTTTGGTTTTAAATAGTAAAATGTTGAATTGAAATAGTTGTTTGATGTGATATAAATATATATTGATATGATGTTTTGAATATAAAATTAAATTAAGGTGTAATAAAATAAATAAAAAATGAGTGTTTGATTTGATATTTTTTTAGGAAAAAAAAATTGAATTAGTAATCAGGTATAAAATTCAACAAGTAAACACACCCATAGTGTTTTAATTCTATCTAGAGTTTTAACTATCTATCATGGGCATAGCTCATTATTTGCTCTTTATAAAACTTTGTCAGGGATTGTTAGTTTTCATCATTGTGTTCTTGTTTTCTCTTTCTTCTTTTGTAATCTTTCCTTCCAAAGGGTTACTTCCATTAATCAATAAAACTTGTTGCCATCATATACCAGGTAAACATGTTGACATAAAATTAGAAAGTTTTGGATAAAGAATTGGCATACGCTTTTCAAGACCGACTCAACGCGTGATGGTTGTTTGGCTTGCCAAAACAAAAAACCAAGTACTACTCGTTGAACAACTTCCTTCAATGGCTTGAGAACAAGCTTCTGCAACACATTTTCTTCAGAAACTGGTGCTGCATTACTGGCATCGTCGAATTGCCCTGCGTTGTTCAGTAATACAATACCTGTAACTTGATTCTCTAATGATGCCCCAGCCACCAAAGCAGTAAATCCTCCTAGACTGAGACAACAAAAATTTAATTCATCTCAACATCATGTAATACACACAAACACACATCGCACAGCAACTAAGCACCATCCTTTCAGCATTTATGAATTCTATCAAGAGATGAAAGAGTTAGGACTTGCCTGTTCCCAACTAAAACAGCAGGCTCTTTAACTATTTCCTTCATGAAATCTATTACTTGATCTCTCCACACCAGAGCATCATACTCAATGAGAGCCTTCTCACTCCAGCCAAAACCGAGTAAATCCAAGGCATAGACCTTGTAGTGTTTTGCCAATTCAGGCATGTTGTATCTAAAGTAAAGTTAGAATTAGAGGTCGGGTTCATACAATACATTCATTAGCAGCAACTTTGAATGCAACTGTCCATTTAAATTCATGTTCATAATTTTTTCCCCTTTCAAAAAACAAGAATTATAGGCAAGTAGCATGGGAGGGGAGGGGAGGGGAAGGCAGCTTTACCACGTTTGTTTATAACTCGAGCAAGAATCCAGAAAATAACCAACCTCCAATGAAATGCAGAAGCCCCAAACCCATGAATTAGAACAATGGGAGATCCCTCCCCCTCCACCACGTAATGAATCTTTCTGTCACGCCAAGTCCAGTAGTTATAGCCCTCCGGCTTAAATGGCAATTTCTCCAAACCTGAGTCGGCCCCAAAATCAGAAATCAATTGCAGCAGACACGCAGTCAATTAAATCGGGAAAAAGAAGATGAAGAGGGGGGGGGGGGGGGGAATCTGCCTCTGGTTTTTGGTGGCTCCGCAGCAACAGTAGACGCCATTACAGAAGCTCCACCAGCAACAATTCCTTTAAACGCAAAATCTCTCCGACTCAATCCGCACCTGCTGCTTCCTTCACGAGTTCAGGAGGAAGTAAAAAGAAGAAACAAACAAACAAACCCACCTTCCCAGGGGATCCCTGAGTTCAGTGTCAAACTTGATAAATTGGAAGCAGCAGCTTACTACTGTGCCGATAGATTCTTGAGAAACTTGAGCTTCCCACTAACTCCGATTTCACGTAATTGGGCAAAGTGGCGCATGAGGTCGCCATAGAATCTGGGACTGGGAGGAAGATCCTGGTCGGAGATGGGAGATTTTGGGAGTCAATGAAACGGAAGCGAGTGGCTGTAATTAATTGTAAAGTAGTGACAGACAGAGAGACACATCTGGAAGACAAGTAGCTGTAGCAACCTCTCTCCTCCCACCACAAATCAATCGCAGGTGTGTTTACACATCGGGAAGACGAGTAGCTGTAGCACTCTCTCTCTTCGCACCACAAATCAATCGCTGAGGGCGGGTTTGTTTGTGTGATTTTGAATTTTAATTTTAATTTTAAATAATAAAATTTTAAATTAAAATAATTATTTAATATAATATAAATATTTAATAATATAATATTTTAAATATAATAAATAAATAATACTCTTCTGTCCCACTTAATTTGTCTCTATTTTTTATTTTCGTCTCTCTTATATAACTTGTTTTTTTTAATTTTAAAAATATAATTATGAACTTTAATCCCATTTTATAATTTTTTGAAATTTTTTAAATTAATATTCGCTTTACATTTAAGGATAAAACTATTTAGATTGCATTAACTTCAACGTACAATTTCAAGAAATTAAACAATATCTTTGTGCATATTATACTTTTCACAATGTCTTAATATAGAAAAAGATACAACAGTTTAATTACTAAGCAAATAAGTTATTACCATGGAATCAACAATAGAGATACATAATAGAATTGATTGTTTGCTAGAATTATGTGTTTCTTTGTTCAAGAGATTGTTTACCTCGATTGTTTTTAGTAGTTTGAAGCATTATCTCTTGTGTAAAAGAATTAGTGTAGCTTTTCTTCACTTGATTATTCTTAATATACGGTAGTTTTCTTGTTTTTTTTTTTTTTTTTTTTCTAATTTTCATAAAATGGATTCATGGCTTATAAGGATGAAAGATAAAGAGTTGAAAATGTTGTTGATTTAACTAAGAACTCAATCCCGATTGTTGATAGTAACTCGACTTTGACATCACAAATACCTCTATTTTGGAATCAATTTAATATAATTGTGGCCGTCCATTCTCTCCTATGTAGTACTATGTCTATCCAAATAATCCTATGTTATATCCGAATTTGTGGAATTTTATATCACCGGACACTACACTTCATGTATCATACCATAAGACCCAAGCGATCGTCCATCGTTCCAATGTGGTATTTCTTCCAGAAGCAACCCTGTTGTAACGTCTGTTGAAACAAATCAACGTGCAAGTAAGAAATAGAATGTTAATGAAGACATGGAGTTGACAACTCCATGGTGTAATGTGGTGATTGATGCACAAGTTGGTGTTTGCACAAAAAAATAAAAAAAATAAAAAATACAAAGATTATGAGACTGTATACAAGTTTTTTTTTCTTATGAAAGAGAGCACCAGGAGAATGTGCTAATCAGTTGATGGAAATTCAATCATAATATCTATCGTATGAGTAGAAGGACAACAATATTATCGGAGCGGATGGAGCGCCTTGGATTTTGTAAGTTTTTTTATATTTTGTTTAATGTATTTCTCAATTACTTAATTTGTTCTAAAACCATTGTCAAAATTATTTTTACATTTTTACAAGAATAGCATTGCCACAAAGCATGCATATATAAACGCAAATCGAACTTTAAGTGTGAGGCATGTTGGCATATACTAAAAGATCAGCCAAAATTGATGAAATTTGAAAGTAGAAAGAAGAGCAAAAAAAAGTGAAAGGTCAATCAAATACTGTAGGAAAAGAAGTTGTCGGGGAGGCAGTTGAGGTTTCGGGATAAGTTGAAGGTTGCTCCCCAGTCACCCCTATTGACCGTAGTTCAAGAACAGTATTTATAAATAGAGATGTTAAACAAATCGAGTAGTTCGCGAGCCAAGCTCGGCTCGAATCATTTATCTCTATTAACAAGTGAGCTTAAGCTCGAGAATTCTTATTTTGTAAATAATCCGAGCTCAAGCTCGATTCGTAAGTAGTTTGAGTAGGCTCATTAGTACTGGGGTATTTTTGTCATTTTATATATTAATATATATTATTTTTATTTTAAATTTTTTGAATTTTCATTTCTAAAATTTTAAATTTTAATTTTCATAACTTCCCACCGGATCCCATTTATAAGGATAGTGGTAACCCTAATTTGCTTTTTTCTTCATCCTCAATTTTCAAGCAGCCACCGCCTACATCATAACAATTTTCTTTCACAATTTTTCAAAATTATTCCACCATATTCTGAAACTTCCACAATTAAAATTTTTTAGTTATATTTTTAGATGAGATTAAAGCCAAAGCACACATGCCACAAGCCACGTAACAAATCTTGCGTTAGTATTACTTTTTAGTTCTTATCTTCTTTTATTTATTTATTTATCTTTATTATTATTATTATTATTATTATTATTATTATTATTATTATTATTATTATTATGTGTAGTTTGTTTAATGTTTTTCTAATTATTTTTTCTAGTGCATTATTTATCTTCATTAAAATAAGTGATTCAATTAGTATGTTTTTTAATTTTTTTTTTGTTTTATATGGATTTTTTTATTATCTATATTTGGATATATGATATTTCCTTCGTCCCATAACAAATGATACAATTTTCATTTTAGTTTGTCTCATAACAAATGATACAATTTCCATTTTAGTCCGTCTCATAACAAATGATACATTTCTATATTTGATCAATTTTACTAATTTAATACATACTTAACAAATATAAATCAATTTAATTAACTTTATACTATATAACATCATACATCATAGGATCCACTCAAAACTCTTTTATTTCTATTTCTCTTCTCAATAAACAAATAGTTTTATTTATATTTAAAAATCTCCCTCTTTTATAAAATTAATTTATGTTTATCATAAATAAATAAACATTTTTTATTTATTTGTATTATATAAAATTTTATTCTCTACAAAATTATATCAACATTGTATATTTTTTATTAAGATATAATTTTTAAAATATTTAAATACATATTTTAAATTTATTTTAATCATATATAATATTTCTTATTTTAAAAAATTATAACAACACTCTTTACATAAAATTTAATAAAATAATATCATAACTACTATTATTAACTAATAAAATATCATCACCTTAAAAAATGTGTCCCTAATCAAATGTATCATTTACAATGGACAAAGGGAATATTTGATTTGGAATGAAATTCTAAAATTAGTCTAATACTTAAAATAAATGAAAATTTATAATTACTATTCAATTTTTAATTTTAATACGGCTGGACCGTGTATAATTATGCCAAAAATAATATTCTTAGCCACAAAATTCAATAGAACCAATGAATTCAGAATATAGGTGAAAAGTATTCTTCAATAGAACCAATGGATGTGACAAGTGACATGGTCCGACCGTGTATAATTATGCTCAAAATAGTTTCATTAGCCACAAAGTTTAATACAACCAATGGATTCGGAATACAGATGAAAGAAAAGAGAATAAAGAAGAAAAAATAGTGCAAAGAATGTGAGTTAATATAGATAATAATTAACCACGAGAATAAGTCTCGTACCTAAAATCAAACCATATGTTAAAACATAAATAATAGGCTAAATTCCACTGCCAAGGATTGGAAGCCACAAACAGATGAAATCAATCCAAAGACCTAATTTGAAATATCTAAGTTGAAGGAAATCACATCCCAGCACTAGACAAATATTGATAGAGAACAATAAAGAAATTTTATTGAAAATTCACTCTATTCTATTACAATGACATTAAAGACCTTTTATAAAAACAGTCGGAAAGAAATAAAAGGAAATATTCAATATAATGAAACAAAGTAAAAGGAAACTGTAAACATGAAATAACGAAACCTATAATAAAATTTAATATATAATAAGGTAACTTTGAGATTCTTCCATAATTATTTATTGTCTTAGTCTTAAAGTCTCCGTTATTGTGATATTGGTCTCGGGATGACTCGACTGGGGTGACCTTTAAGTTAGATACATAAGAATTATAGTGTCAAGCAGGTCCATCTTCAATAAAAAAAAAAAAAAGAAAAAACAAATTGAGCTTGAACGACCACATCATTCCCCTATTCTTGAAAAGTACTCTTGTTCACCAAAACACGACATTCATCGACTCTACGGCTCACAAGAAGACTCAATTTTTCAAGAGACAATAGCGAAAGAAATCTAAAACAAAGTGGAGAAAGAAAAGATTGTAGAGAACGATATGGTTGACAAATACCACAAATTGATTTTTTTTTCTTTTTTTGAACAAAATCGACTTAGGACGACTCAAGTTGATAGAAAACTTGAGCGCAAGGCTCTGGTACAAGATGACACTGCCCGACCGTGTATAATTATGCCCAAAATAATTTCTTTAGCCACAAAGTTCAATAGAACCAATGGATTCGAAATATAGATGAAAGAAAAGAGAATAAAGAAAAAAAATAGTGCAGAGAATGTGAATTAATATGGATGATAACCAACCACGAGAATAAGTCTCGGACTTGAAATCAAACCATATGTTAAAATATAAACAATAGGCTAAATTCCACTGCTAAGGATTGGAAGCCATGAACCGATGAAATCACTCCAAAAACTCAATTTGAAATATCTAAGTGGGAGGAAATTATATTCTAACACTAAGCAAATATTGAGAGAGAACAATAAATAAAATTTATTCAAGAATATGTGGGAGGTAATCATATCCTAACACTACAATGATATTAAAGGCCTTTTATAGAGGCAATAGGAAAGAAATAAAAGAAAATATCAAATAAAAGGAAACAAAGTAAAATGAAAATCTAAAGAAAGAAATACCTACATAAGATAACAAATAACAAGGAAACTCTAAATATGGAATAAGGAAACCTACAACAAAAGGTAATATATAATAATATAACTTTAAGATTCTTCCTTAATTATTTGTTGTCTTAGTCTTGAAGTCCCGGTTCTTGTGATCTTGGTCTCGGGATGAGCCGGCTGTGTGACCTTTGAGTCAGATACAAAAGAATTGTATTGTTGAGCAGGTTCATCTTCAATTTGTTTTTTGAGCTTGTACGACCACATTAGGTATGCAAGAAGATTTGGAAGCGAAGCACCGGATATGAAGTCAATTTGATGCTCTATCCCACGAATGGGCAGTAGTCCTTCCGTTAGTTCATCCGGGTATACATCTTTCATCTCTTCAAACATCCTACAAATGGAATAGAAAAGTTATTGAGTAGGTTA